TCAAGAGAGGTTCATCAACAGCCCCAATGTACACAAAGCAAAAGACATAGGGACATGTTAGATATTGATGCTAATGTGCATAAGGAAGCTTAAAATGCCTTTGACCAAGATAACCCATGTCTAGGAATCTATTTCCTATGTAAGTAATTCAAATATGGACAAAAGGTTTATGCAAAAGAACATTTGGTCCCCAGCATATTGATAACAATTTAAAAGTGGACTCGATTTAAGTCACCTACAATATGGAAATGGTAAAGAAAATTATGGTATCTTTGCTTGATTAGCTATTAGGGAGCCTTTACAAACAATGCAATGACATGGCAAATGCTTATGTTATAATGATAAGTTTTAAGAAACCCAAGATGCAAATTGGCTTATTTTAATCAGGACCCACCCATTGTCTGGGGATGTGGTCAATCCCTTATAATATTTTTTGTGGATGCTGTTCCCAGGAAAGAAGGGGAATAGAAGCAACAAGTATGAGGTGTCCCCTGTTATCTCCCCCTTTGTCTATCCCACATTAAAGGACTCCTCTCTCTTTCTCAGTATGGGCTATCTCAGTAATGATGACTCACTGTTCTGCGAGTTCTCTCATTTTCTCGCATCCTGGGTCGTGCGCTTATATGAAGCAGGCGGGCGGTGGTTGTGGCAGGGCCGGTTCTACCCCACTTAGTATCCTGGAGTGGACATGTAGCCCCATTTTCTGGCGGTTACTTCAGCACCACAAAGAGCCTAACGTCTCTTTAGCCTCAGGTTTGGGCAATAGTCATTTATAGAGCAACAGGAAATACGCAAGTCAGCATCTACTTAAAAATAAAGTAATTCAAGAGAGTGGAAGACTAATAGTTTCTAATCTAGAGAGCAAAGGAGAAGAAATGTTCATCACATACCAAGTGTCAGTGCCCTGCATATATCAGGGAAAAAGTCCATAGGAAAAAGACAAACACGTTATAGTGAACATGTGTTTTTCCTGACTAGCATCTGTTTTACATCCCTCCTGATACCAGGAGCCCTATTTCCTTTGGGAAGCCACTCTTCCCCATAATTCTCAGACTTTTAAGTTTACATGAAATTCATTCAACCCACAGATCCAAGTATGTGCCTTGATTAGTTTAAGCAAATCAATGAAACCTATCCCCGTAACCACAGTGATTGGTTAGGAATTGGGTTTCTGACCTAAGGTCAGTCAAATCCGAAAGAACCTAGTGATTTTTCTCACTGGGGACACAGGCTCTCTCTCTTCCCTGCAGAAAATGAACAAGGGTTCATGTAACACTAGAAGCTAGTAGCAGCCGTCCTGGGACTCCCGCATGGAAGGGAGGTCAGAAAGAGAAGAAAACAGGACCTGTGGGACATCACAGGGCTGTGCGTCCAGCCTTGTCTGGAGCCAGAGCCACCCCTCCGCCCTTTAGTCTTGGAGCCACAGGTTCATTTATTCAAGCCTCTGTGAGTCAGGTTTGTTTGTTTTCCTCCTTGGAACTATCAGCATCCTGAGAAATACAGAAACTTGTATCCGGGTAGAGATACAGGATCTGTTCAAATTAGCCCCTGACTGAAGTGTGGGATTGGCTGAACTGAAAAAGTCGGAGGGAATTTGGTGAGGACCTTGGTAAACGGAAGTGGTTTTTAAACTTTGGTGTGCATTGCATTGGAATTACCTGGAGGCTTGTTAAGACACAGATTGCTGGGCCCCACCCCCTAAAGCGGGAGAGAGGCTTAGAATTTGCATTTGTAACATGTTCCCAGGTAATGTTCATGCTGTTGTCTGGGCACCACCTTTTGAGAAGCGGTCTTACATGGAATTGCCACTGCTGGTTGAACTGTGATCTGTCGTATCTTAGTGCTAAGTCCCTGTGCCAGATGTTAAGGCTGCGACATTAAGGAATTTGATAGGAAAGATTCTGACTATTGGAATATAATAGCTATTTCTTTCATCCATCAGTAAGATCCTTTAAGAAAGAGTTCAAGCTACTTTGAAATGGGCTCCTCTGAAATCAGAAAAGGAAAAAAAACTCAGTTTTGCTAAGAAAGACCTTTCCAGCCTGCCCACTGAGAGCCAGTAATCTGGAGTCTCTAAGGGTTATAAACACAGAATTTTCTACTCTAAGCTAAAGTTAGTGCAAGCAGAGGCAGGGAGGTGAGAGACTTAACAGGAGAGAAATCTGAGGTGCAATTGCAGCCCTAACTCCCCTCCCCACCGTCTCCTATGAGATAGTTATCTTCCTTACTTAAAGTGGACAATCAGCTCTTTGAGAAGGTGCAGGGAGGACGTGGCTTGGGGCCAAGCATCAGATATTCATCACTTCCCCACATTGCCTCACCTCTGCAGGGGCCAAGATGGAGGCAGAGGTCTCTCAGCAGAGGGCCAGGAGGCGGTGGGTGTAGGGGTGACTACTATTGAGGCCCGTGCTACAAAGCACACATTCCCAACCCAAGTTAAAATGCAAGATATGTGACTGGATAAGCTCTCTGCTTCTGGTTATTTAGCCCATGGAATTGCTCAGAAGCAAAGAGATCAGAAACCTAACTATCGTTAGAAGGGTGTTACATTGCCGAAGAAACCACAAGACCAGCCCCAAACGGCTCTTTGATTGCTCAACACTAAGGCAAACCCCAGGCTCCTAGCTCACATGGACAGGAGGTAGGCAGCCCCCAGAAAAGGGCTCCTCCCCAGTGCACATCTCAGATGAGTCCAGAGACGACATTCCCTAGGGAGGTCAACCTGAGAGGTTGACCAAGGATCTCAGTCGTGTCTCAGTCTCTGAAATGCCCTATACCCTGGTTAACAACAGGGAAGGAGAAGCAATTCCCCTTCTCCCTTTTCCCTCCAGGGGTCTTTGTTCTATTTACTCTGCTTGTTCGCAACACTTGTATTTAGGGACTATTGGGCATGGTTGAGCTTCTCATTTGGCTTTGGGTTGCTGGACCTTGAGAAAGAGTTCAGTGTAAACAGGCAGATTTTGTTTGTCCCAAGGTGCTGAAAGCCAATAGAGAAGAAATGGTGATGCCTTCACTGCTACTTTGGGAGCAGAGGCTGTTCCTCGCATTCTCCTGAAAGTACCTTCACACTTATCGTGGGTGTGGTGATGATGGTGTTAGGAGATGGGGCCCCTCGTAATGGAAGGGGATTGTAAAATGTTGCCTGTGAGGAGCTTTGTGTGTGTGGGGGTGTGATATGAAAGCCTCAGGCAAAATGACTTGTTTGTTGCATTGCCCTCATTATGTAAGAGCCGTTATGGCATCACGACTGTTATGACTGGCCAAGCTGAGCTGTCTTTTGTGTCAACTTGGAATCCCAATCAGCAAGTGGTTCCAATGGATGGAATACCACTCATCAAAGAGTAATTAAGATGAGACTGGAGAAGGAAGCAATACACACTCACTGAAAAATAAATAAAAAAGAAGTGCAGAAAATAAAAAGGAAAAGTCCCCATTCCTAAAAATAAAAAAAATAATAATAACTATTCCATTTCCTCTAAGAAATCACAGTCAGCTATTTGATATGTATCTTTCCAAATATTTGCCTTTATAAATATATATGTATAGGTGGCTTTTAAAAACAAAAACAAAAATAATATCATCATTCTATACACATAGTTCTCATATACTAGATGCAAACAGATATACCTTTTGCACATAATATATGGACACTTTCCATGGCTATAGATGTGTGTTATCCTTTTTAGTGACTGCAGAATATTCCAGTGATGGACATCTGGATCCTCTACTGATTTAATCCCTTACTGATGGTTGTTTCCTGTTTACAAACCATGCTGCAAATATCCTTGTGCCTATATATTCTTGTCCTTTGATAGTGTTGCTACAAAACAGATTCCCTAGAAATGGAATCAGGGCAAACGGTATCTAGGTTTTAATGTTTCCTTATAGTAGTATTTAATTGTACTCTAAAGAATTTGATCACTACAATTCTAAACTAACTTTGGAGACAAAAATTAGATTATTTTAAACAATGAAATAATTATGGCTCATAAAAATTGATACGTTTGGTTTTCACACGTCTTTTGAATTTCTCCACCTTCTGCAAAAAGAACCCTAGTTCAGTGTACATTTCTTGTAGTCGTAACTATAACTCAGGCAATCCATCTACTAAATAACTCAGCTTTCACAGTAAACCTAAACAGAATCCTGCTCCAGTGTAGCCTGGTGGTCTTTCCTTCCCTAGCATTAGCCATTTATTTCATGGAGCATTGATACCAGAGAAATAATGTACAACAGACCTGTTACCATATGCAGCTATGCACTGCTTTTGGGAAAGAGTGGTGAATCCTGTTGACTATTTCAGTGGTTGTCAGCTGTTAACATGCTTGTGGACCACCTGATAAGCTTGGTAGAAATATCAATCCCAACGTCCACACCTAAAGATTCTGATGTGAATGGCTTAAACAATCACTGCTTGTAATTTGAGTACAGATGGATTGTGTTTGGGGAATAATTTGGACGGTGGTTAAGAGTGAAGTCTGTAGTTATCAAAGTCTAGTTTTGAAACTCAATTGTACTATTTACTTGCTGTGTGATCTTGGCCAAGTTGCTTAACCTGTCTGAGCCCCAGGCCCAGTTTATCCTTCTGTCAAATGGGGATATTAGTAGTAGTTAAGCTGTACTATTTCATTGTGAGGATCAAATAGATACTGCATAGAAAGCACTCAGCCTAGAGTAAGTCTCAAATATGTTAGTAATTGTTATTAAGAACACTTGATTTAATCATAAATATGTACTACAAATACTCTTCTTAATGATATCCATTGGAGTAGCAAATTTTCCTAAAACATGTACATTGTGATTTGATTTATAAAATATTCATAATTTCAATGATCTGGAAACGTGACTCCAGTGTAAAGCAGAGTACCTCTGTGGTAGCCCCTCTTCCATCTCTCCTAATTTCCCTCCGTTTCACATCTTCCTATTCTCTGCCTATTATTCCTTTCAACAAGTGATTCTGATTTGCCAGATAAACAAAACCAAACTCAATGCCAGTTTACTTTTTAAAAGAGCATGTTTATTATTTCTCCAGGCTGAACACAGCACTGAACAGAAACATCTAACACACATTTGTCAGTCTGGTGGCTTTGGTGCCACCTCTGCCTAGAACAAGCTGGTGACAGTCACTCAATTGTCACCAATCACAGTGCAAGTGAAGGGGGAAGAGAGGGGCAGTGAAGAAGGTGTCCTGAGTTCTCTTGGAGCCAACAGTCCCAAATACAGTGTGACACGGAAAATAAATTACAAAAATTAAATACTATAAATAAGTTGAAATTTAAGTTAGGAAGAGTCCCAGAGTGTGGCTGTTTGGCAACAAGCAGCACACAGGAGAGGTAGCTGCGGAGGTTACAGGGGTGTTTCTAAGGCTCAGGCCGCTGCTCCCCAGTCGGCCCAGCGAGGTCACTGGGCTCCTCAAAGCTTCCAGGCCACTCAGGCATTCAGCTCCAGGTCGGTCACGTATTCCTGGACCCAAGCCTCAGCGGGGTCGGCACAGACCTGCCGGCTTCTTTTGGTTTGGAAGCTGTGGAGAGGAATGGAAAGATTACGCACTGAGGAATCCAGCAGGGGAATTCTGGGCCCACTGTGGCCCCTCCACCCCACTCTCTGACCTGGGCAGTTCAGGGCTGCTCACTTTCTCAGAGGTCCTCTGTCTATCTCAGTCCAGAGGGCTGCTCTCACTGACTCAGGGGACCCCTCAGAGGATCCTGCTGTCACCTCCTTCTTCCCCTCTCTTCCCTCTGGGCTGAGCCAGCCCTCCCTGGCTCTGCAAGCCCCTGGCCAGGTCAGGTCACATCTCAGAGACCTGGGTCCTGCATACTTGATAGATCCCAGAGGGGTGGGTCTTTCCAGGACGGCACCCCTGGCCTGTCTGTGGCCTTGGGTGCTACCCCCACTCCACACCCTCCCTCTGTCCCCAGAGATGGATAGGAAGACTGACGCTTACATGATGCCAGGCTTGGAGCACCGGCTGCTGGTCTCGTAATAGTCGGCTACGAATTTGCGTGGAATCTGCCGGGCAACATAGGAGAAGCAGCAGGCGGTGGGGGTGTCAGCGCCAACTGTAGAGGAAGGGACAGAATGAGCCTGAGTCATAGTTCAGAAGAAAAGGCGAGATCTTCAATCTGACCCCTGAGAGGGTGATGAAGACGCAGAGGAAGACAGCCGTGCTTAGGGCGTGGGCTGGGAGACAAGGTCGCTGGAGGGCGTTGGGCATTTTTGCATAGAACTCTCCCTGTCCTTGTTGCTGTCTGTGTCCTTCTTTCTCTTTGGCTCTTCAGTGTGGGCTCTCTCTTTCTCTATGGGATTCAGACATCCAAGCAGACTGTTCTCTTATCTCATCTCCCTTCAGGAAATTGTCTGGTTCAAGAAGTCATACTCCAGCGAGAGAGAAACCTTGGACATAAGGCATCCAAGAAACAGAGCTTTTGGGGGGACCTAGGGTGAGTTAGTAGAAGAATAACCCCCCTGCGAGGTAAGCAGACTTGGATTCTGCCTGTTGCAAACTCATTCGTTTAGGTCCCTTTTTGCCCTCTGTAAAATGGGACTGTAACTCCCCTACCTCACCCTGGCCCTCAGATCTGGGGACTAGGATAGCTAAGACCCCTTTATAAAGATCAAAATAAAAGCTTTGTAGGGAAAGGCCACGATCTTTTGTAACCCTCTAAGAAGTGCTCTGTTTTCCCTTGGGGGCTCTCACGGCCACAAGAAAAGATTGATGTGGTCCGACCGTGGCCAGAGTGGGGACACCCACAGCAACAACACAGACTCACATGGTACAGAGAAGACCTGGCTGCAGAGGGCTGTGGTGCAGAGGAGGACGGCAAGGGCAGCCACGGGGACCTTCATGATGCTGAGCAGATGGAGTGCGGGCTCGAGTGTCAGCGGAGCTGAGACGGGATCGGGCACCCGTTGCTGCCTGCGTCCTTCTGAAGTGTGAGGCTATCTCCCCTGCTCTTTATAGGCAGCCCTGGTGGATGGGGAAATGGAATCCGGGGGTGAGAAGGAAAATTTTTTAGCATAGTGGTGCTGTCACGCTGAGGGTTGCGCAACTCAGGGTCCCAGGCGACCACAGGGACTCAGGATATCCAAGAATAGCTTCTCTGAGCTATAACTATTAGTCTGCAACCCAAACTTGTTCTGTTTTCTTGTGAGGAAACCCCCGTGAGCAGAAGGAGAGGGGTGTGTCGACCCAGGGCTATTCTTAGCTGGTCCCTTCCCATAAGAATGACCTTTATGTACATGAACTCTCCAGCTCCGTCCTTCCCCCAGAGCTGAAACCTCTGTGCTTCCGCAGTTGCTCTCACCACACGGACGGGGTAGAAGTGATGTTGCTGTGGAGGGTGGCACAAGCCTCCCTTGGATGCCAGCAACTGAATTAAGGCTTTCGTGCTAGACTAGGAGGATGAGGTCATGTTTCCTCACATTCATCAAACAGTCACTGAGTGACTAGGGGCACTGGGTTAAACATTAATTGAGGATCGTAAAGATACATCAGATGTGGGTGTTAATATGTCAGGAGCCTAAAAATATTTATACCCGTTTTAACCTAGAGAACACATTTCTAGGAAACAGTTCTAAAGAAACAAACCCAAATATAGAGGCATCTTCAAACCTAAAGATATCTGACCCAGTGTCATTTGTAACTCTAAAATAAGGAAACCTAAATTTTCCTCTATCAGAGAATGATAAAGTAAATTACGGTGTATCCACTGGACTGTCTATGAGTAAGCCCTTAGACTGAATGGAGTGAAGTAGCATAAATATAATCATAATATCAGTTGTAAAAAAGTAAGATGAAAAATCGTACAAATTGTACAAGATGAAGAATTGTACAAATATATATGTGTATATATGTATACATACATGTATGACAAGTATTGTAACCATATATATATGGTTTATATATATATAAACATTAGGCATGGAAAAAATAAAAAAGCATTGGAAATAAATGCCCCAAAGCATCAATAGTACTTATATTTGTGTGATACATCTGTGGGTGATTAATTTTCTTGTTTTCCTCTTTTTCTGGAGCTTTCTCATTTTTTAAAAAGTGACAATATTACCTTCCTGGTCAGCCCACAAATTACAAACACATTTTCTTTTAAAACGTTAACACCACCACCATTTGGAAAGTAAGTTGATGTCAATTGTTTAATTTTAAAGAAATTTTTGATAAATTTACTAAAGTTTCTGTCCAGTGGCCTTTGCTAAAGTGAAGTCTTGATTTCCATTTCTCTGAACTATTTTAAGGAACCTGTTTGATATTTACATAAATAATACCAAATCCAAAGCAGCCTTCTTATGCTTTTCAATTCATAATTTCAGTGGTGTGAAAGGGTCAACTTTCTCAGCCAGATCTATGGTGTTTTTCCTTTTCCATCCTTTATTATTTTATTAGTACATAATTAATAAACATAAATCACATTTTATAATGAGAAATTGATTTGGTTCTTTTTAATGGTCTTTGTCCTCTAGAGGCCCCAGTCTAGCAGGGGCAGGTAGAGTGTATAAACAGAAAGTGCTAAGATTCCTAGGAGAGAAATAAATGAAAGCTGAGAAGGCCAGGAGGAGGGAGCAATGACCTGCCTTGGGAGGATGGGGGAAGGCTTCACGGAAAGGACAGAACTTTGGTTGGATCTTGAAAGCTACACAGGATTTGAACATATAGAGATGGGGTAGCAGTAAGGTCCAGCTAGTGCAGAGTCCCAGGTGTGAAATTGCTGGCTCAGAGGGAGGAGTGAGTAGTTCAGTGTAGCTACAGAACAGTGGAGCAAATATGGATGATGAAGCTAAATTAGGGCTTAGCAAGGAGGGCTTTGAATTTCCCCCAAAAGGAGCTAGAACTGTGGAGGAAATGAGACATAAGCAAAGTGAGCCCACACCTTAGGAATTCTGTCCTTCCTGTGTCTGTAGAGTTACTTCTCTTAAAACACATGGGCTGTGTTTCCATCCCATCCAGTATTTCTAATACTGGTCATGAGGGAGGCGAAGCCAAGGCAGGATCAGGGGCAATGGCAGGTTTCACTGGGGCTTGAGCATCCAGGTGTCTTCCCCTGTTATTGTCAATTCCATAAAAGGAGTCTCAATCACTCGTTTCATTGGAAACTCCAGATCACAGTCAGTGCCTCCTCCTCATCCCACCCCCTCTGCCTCAGCCCTCAAGTGATGCCCTGAGTTTCATTCCCTCATTCATTTCTTGGGGAACTCCCTTCATACTCGTGATTCAGTTTCTGAGAGCTGGTGTCTATGAGTTGGGGAGGCTGAGAAGGAGGAAATGGAAACTGCTGAATCAATCACTTTTCTGATAATGGACCTAATTATCTATCTCTCTGATTACAACACTACCACATTGTGTTATAATAAGTTACATACATAATTTTCCTTTCAAAAATTTAGACCATGTCCTGCTGATTTTAAACCAAATTCATACCATGTCTCGTTGGTTGATTTAAACCAAATCCTAGCACTTAATGATAATAACATGATGAATTGTATGAAATAGTCTCTATTTCCCATAATTTTGTTCTTTTCAATAATGGTGCTTTATGGAAAATAAAATTCTACCTTAGTGTTTATATATTTGTAAGACTTTCCATTTCAATCCCAAACCCAGAAAATAGCCTTTTGTCATATGTGTTTTTCCTGGATTGGAAAATAACAGATTTGTATGCAAAGTGTGTGCTTAATATGCATATGTTGAATTTGAATAATGTAAGAAGCCTTAGGATGGTTGAGTTGGAAGGGTTCTAGAAAGTAGGAGGTAAAGTGATGTTCCCAGGCAAAACGACTTGCCCGGATCACACAGAGGGATTGACCAGTTTTATATTCCAATGTCTGCATTATTTAGCGACATATCTCTAACAGTAACCACAATGCCTGATAACATGGTGGACCTTTATAACTATTTGGTAAATGAATGAATAAATCACTGATTTGACGAACAATATGTGTTATGTCCAAAGTCCCACTGTAGAGTTGAAATACTAATGGGAAGGAAAGGATCAGAACGGCCATGGGGGTGCCGGTCCCCTGGCTTAGCGGTTAAGTGTGTGCGCTCCGCTACTGGCAGCCCGGGTTCGGATCCCGGATGCGCACCCACGCACCACTTGTCCCGCCATGCTGAGGCCGCGTCCCACATACAGCAACTAGAAGAATGTGCAACTATGACATACAACTATCTACGGGGGCTTTGGGGAGAAAAAGGGAAAAAAGAAAGGAGGATTGGCAATAAATGTTAGCTCAGGGCCGGTCTTCCTCAGCAAAAAGAGGAAAGAGGAGGATTGGCATGGATGTTAGCTCAGGGCTGATCTTCCACACACAAAAAAAAAAAAAAAAAAAAAGAAAGGCCATGGTGTCCAAGTCTTGATCTTTGGGAGACCACCCAAGATCTCTTAGGTGGTGGTGACAGAAAGTAGCCACCAGTCAACGTGGTAGATCATTCAGCATGGGAAGGTTTGATTTATGTCCTAGCTTTTTGGCTCATTCCAGCCTCTTTGAGTCTCCACTTCAGTCCAGCAGAGCATCCCAGCCACGAGTATAGGGAATTCTGGCTGAACAATGCATGTTCCGCAACATCTCTGCCTTGTCCTGCTCAGCTTGCCTCTTCATTGTTTCCCATGCCCTGGCCCTGCTGGACTGGTCTCCTTCCAGTTTCTGGCCCTGCAGCTCCATTCCCCAGGCAATCTCAGCTCTCTCCCTTGGGCAGCAGTGGCTCCCTGGATGGGTTCACTCATAATGACTCTGTTCCTCTGCAGCTTTGTAATCTCTTTATTTGGCAGCCTCTGCCTCCTTTTTTCAGGCGTGGTCCACAGAGTCAGGTTGGAGCAAATCTTTCATGTGGACAGAAACAGTATCCTGGGGGCCCCTTTCTAGCATCCTAGAGAGACAATATCTAGTTGATGTAGTCCCTTCTTTCTGCAGCCAGGCCCTTTCCTATCGGGAGTTCTTCTTGTCATTCTCCTCTGGCCATTTTTTGGTGTGTGCAGCAGATCAGGGCATACATCTTGGCATTGCATTAGATCCTTCCCCCATCTCCATGCTCCTCCTTCTGTATTCTCTACTCAGTAAAAAGCATCCCCTCCCACCCAGCTTCCAAGCCAGAAACCTGGGAGTCACCCCTGACTCGTCTCTCCTCCTCAGCTCCTTCATCTAATCCATCACCGACTCTATTATATATCTGAAATTAAGTGTATCTACTTCCCACCTTTCCCACTGCCATTGTCTTAGGAGAGGCCCTCATCATTTCTTACCATGGCAACTATAAGAGTGTCCTGTCAGCTCTTTTTTCTTCCAGTTTTGCCTCTCTTTAGTCTGTTCCCTCACATGGCATCCAAAGTGATTTTGCTAAAGCTCAAATCAGTCTGTCTCTCTCTGTTGTAACTCCTTCAAACACTCTGCATTGTTTCCAGCGTGAAATGGAAGCTTCTCCTCTGTGACCCGACCCCTGCCTCTTCTTTGGCCTCCTCTCTTGCTACATTCGGACTGCATGGAAACCAAGACTCAGCCGTCTGAACCACACGTGATTCCTTAAAAGTGCAGATCTCTTCTCTGCTTTTATGAATGAGGTGTCAACTTGGCAAATTACAGTATCCCCTTCTTATAAATCCCAGGGCAGTGTGAAATACTACAAGCACCAGGATGTCCCATGACAGCCACAGAGACTAAGATTTAGAACAAGTAAGGAAAACCACTATTTAATTCCTTTAATTTTCTGAGGAGAAAGAGAGAAATCCATGGATTCCACTGTTCAAAGACGTGCAAAATGCAAAACTGAAAGACATTTTAAATCATAATAACAGAATTTTGGCTGTTAAGCGTTTTACATAAATGTATGATAAGCACATTTTCCTTTTCTGATTTACTTACATTCTGCTGCCAGACCTCCTTGGTGTCATTTCCAAATCTATCATGTATTAGCTGTGTGTTCTTCCGTGGGTTACTTACCTCTCTGTGCTTCAGTTTCCTCATGTGTGAAAGGGGATGGTAATAGTACTTATGGCAGAGGATG